CAAAAACCGCGACCACGCTTACACAAATTGTATTGCCGTGAAAATTGCTCTGCTTAACGGAAATTTGTAGCGTAATTTTCATCAATTTATTTCACAGAATTTGCGTTTACAGTCTACGTTCTGTTCAGTAGCAAAGTTTTTTAAAGAAGTACAAAGTCGGACTATATCGCCCATAAAGAAAACTTTCTCCATGAATTGGTGTATCTAAAAGGCTAGTGTTAAGAGTATTTTGTAGTAACAAAATCCAGTAGTCCGTTTTTCTTTGAATCCAATGTTTTTATGCTTTCTCAGGGGAATGGTTCATATTTATCTCACTACAAATGTCACGACTAGAGTCAAAGTACCAACGCAGTTGTAGGTACCTGATGTATCACCACGCTAGCGATCCATATTTTATACATATTATTTTTTAAAATATGCTCCACAGCCGCAAGGCCATAAGCCGTTTGCATTTTGTGTTATTATCTCGATAATAAAAAAAGTTGGAATGATATGTATACACAATTTCAGGGAATTCAGCATGAACATGAAAAAAAAGTACATTTTGGTAGCCGTAGCACTTAATACATTGCGGTTTCCACTAAAAATCATCAAATATCTTTTCCGCTTACTAAAAAAATGTTGTTGGGTCATGTTCTCAACACATAGATGAACAAAATACGAATTTTTGAGATTAATAATGGGAAATATTTATTTATATTTATTTATTTATATACAGTTTGGGGTGTTAACAGGTAAACCCAACACACACCCTCAGTGAACTAAAACTAAACTTACATAAAATATCGTATACATATATTACATTATTGAATACTTCAATATTAATATTTTTTTATCCTCCGATATTGTTGTAACAACATAAACTGAGTGAGTAGTTCTAATTATAAGCAATAAACTATTAATTTAACTTTTTTAATAAAAGGAGTATACATAATTTAACATTTACTTACGCTTAATTAAAACTGAAATCAAAATTAAATTGAAATTATACCAGAAATGATATTGGAGGTGATAACTTGAGTTATGTAAAAAAATAAAACATTTCTATTTTAGTCTGCCATAGAGCTGTAATACTCATACTTTAAAGCCTTTCTCAGGGAGGTCAAGCTAATGTTAAATAAATCTATATTACAGAAATTATTATGATTTTTTTGAGCGCTGACCAAAGGGGAATTAAGACCAAGATTGGTTCTACGGAACGGTATTCTAAACAGATGATAGGTTCTAAACGTGCTATCAGGAGTGTTAAAGATCCGGACAGTCAGTGAGGCCATTGAACAATTTATGGACACAGCAAATGTCAGAAATCGTTCTTCTATCTTTTAAGGAAATCATATTGGACTGTTTCATAATTTGCGTATAATGATGATCTGTAACAGGTTGGTGAGTTTTATGTGCTAACATCTTCAAAAATTTGTGTTGAATTCTTTCTATCCTGACTATATGTACATTGTAAGACGGATTCCATATTACTGATGCAAACATCAGTTTGTTGTGTATATAAGCGTAGTACAATGAAAGAAGCGTTTTTGGGTTCGTATATTCTCTGCATGTCCCGTTTATGAACCCTAGTGTTCTATTTGCATCATTTACGATGTGATCTACGTGGGTGATGAATGAGAGTTTCTCATCAATGTATACCCCTAGGTCTTTTACTACATGAAGCTTTTCCAGTTCTGCCGTCCCTATCTTATATCTGAAATCTATAGTGTTTAAGAGTAAAAATGGAAGGTAAGATTGAATAAGAAGGGATCCAGGCAGAAGACAACGTTCATGGTTCAAACATGTAAGAGACTGGACCACCTAAATTCAGTTACTTTCAAGACTTTATCAAGACTGGGAGCGAATGTCGAAATTCTAACAAACCTTCTATAAAGAAAACGACACAAGAAGAAGGAGAGTGACAAAAGTTATAGACGCACACTTCCTTTTCAGCTCATTGCTTTCATCCATCCCATCTTCTTATTTAGAATGGTATCAATAGATTTACTCACTGTAGAAGTCCATTTTGTTTGAGTAGCTTTTCCGAACTCGGAAAGGAGTTTTAAGAGAATATACTCGTATATGTAATATAAGATGGCTTCGGGCTAGTCCACTAAATTAAAATCTTGTTCATCCGATAAAATTTCAATGAAACTTCTATATATACCAATCTCATGATAAAGAGGAGAATATCATGTCAATAGCTACGAATGCTTACTTGTAAATATCGAGGAATAATAACGAAAAAAAGGTTCAGATATCTAACTAAGCTACTATTTCCACTTAACAAAATAGGGCTCGGCTTAAGGCACTTTCGTTTACTATTCATTATACTCCAATTTCATATTTCATGACCATCGATTCCATGGAAAGCTTGATTGCCCTGCTCTAATTGAATATAATAAGTTCTACCTTATAGTGATACTGACTCCATGATTGGCGCTATACCGCAGAGTCTGTATCTGTGTAATACCTCGATGAAAAAGGGCTTAACATACAGCCATAAAAATCAGTAAATCCGATTTAGCGGGTTGTTCTCCATCAGATCGCCATTTTAGTATGCCCAGCTAAGGGATTTGTAATGCACCGAATAATACTAGCGGGATATAGAGATCATCGTTTTTAGTTTTATACGCACATAAAGTGAAATACGACTGTCACATTTACGACACGTACATAAATTCCTTGTGCGCTAGTGTCATATAAATTATGCGAGACGTATCCGCTGCATCAAATAGTAATTTTATGTCGTAACAGGCTATCTCTAACGTGGTTACATAACCATAAATCATAATGAATATTTGATACTGCGGCACAGTTAAAAAAACGCCCTGTCGTAGTTTGCACCATATTCATCATGAAGTGTGATTTAAATACGAGCCACTTCCCACTTCAGTTGGCCCACTTTAAGATTTGTACCTTTAAAAAATAAACATGACGAAACTATTTAGTTCTAAAACAATTTATTTTCACAAAAACATTTTAGATACACAATAGTCGTAAAAAATACATATTTGAAATCACTTAGACCTTTAACTAATAGAACATCTGAACAAATAAACAATGTGCGAATAAATGCGCGAAGTTAACAAAGCAACAATTGAAAGATTACCATTGGGTAACATCACCTTTATTTTTTATTATGGCTGAAATTCTTTGAGGCATACTGTTAACGAAGTTTTGGCAAAAATTTGGTGTAAAACAACTCCATATTTCTTGAAGCTTTTGTCTCAGTTCGGTGATTGTACGACCAGGATGTTGTCGTAGAACCTTTTTCATCCCGTGCCACGAAGTTTCAATAGGTGACTAATCTGGACTGCTAGAAACTCATTTCAAAAGTGGTACATTATTTTCTTCCATCCATTTTATAGCCTTTTTTGAGGTATGGCACGCTGCACCATCTTGCTGAAACACAAAATCTTGGCCGGATGTCAAACATTTTTCCTTCATTGGTAAAAGCGATTCTTCTAAAATTGCCAAATATTTGTTTGTATCCACATTTCCATCAATAAAATGAAGTTTTCCTACTCATTTTGATGACAAACTGCCCCAGACCATAATGGACGCTGGAAATTTCACTTTTCTCTCCAGACAGTCAACATGGAATGCTTAATTTATTTTTTTGCGAATTACTCTACTGCGACTGTCACCAACACAAACTTCGAATCGGGCCTCATCACTCCATTGTATTGCACCATTGTTGAGGTGTCCATTGTCTATGTTCTTTAGCCCATCTGAGCCGATTTTTCCTTTGCAGTGGAGTTAGTCGTGGCTTTTATTTGGCTTATAAACAGGTTGTGCAACTTTAGGGTTTTTACTTCACTTTTTTTATAAGAAAACTTACCTTGCAACAGAGCACTAATTTGTAAATAATTGGCACGCCTGTTTTTCACGATTATTCTTCTTAATGCTATTCGGTCGGCATTTGTGATATTACTCTTTTTCACATATCGTGGCTTAATATTAACTGAACCGGTTAGGTTATATCTTCTAACAATATTTCTCACACTGTACCGCGATAAGTCTAACAAAGTTGCAATTTCTGAGTTTGATTTCCCAGAATTAATAAATTTAATTGTTAGTAACCGAATTTTCCCACTAATAACCTTTCCTCTACCCATTTTGAAAACCTTAACTACCCAAAACTATTTTTAACGTATTCTGACAGATGTGGTTAATAAAAACAATTGTCATGGGTTTTATTTTTCACAGCCACCTATGCGTTATAGACTTATTTTGCATTGAAATGTAAATAGGTTGATATGCTGTAATTGCAACATGTGTTATATTTATGCTGCAAATTTGATTGGGAGTGATAAAGCTGATATTCATTCATATACTTTGAAGTTGAGTCATTAATTTTAAAATTTAAAAATAAAAAAAAAATAAAAAAAAATGTTACCTTGTTTTATAAAGTATCCTCCCGACAAGTATTTCAGTCCGGACCTGTATTTGATCGTGCGGTCTTGGAGCACCGGCAAGCCCTCCCCTGTGAGGTCTTAAGTCACCTGATTCACGAGCCCTTTGTACTACATTAAGAAAGGCACGAGGGGTTGGTTGCACTCGATTGGGAAACCGATAAATAAGAATCATGTCCACAAGTTCAGCATTTTCGTACACATGTGCCATTTTTTATTTCGTTTGAGCCACACAACAAACACCACTATTCACTCACGCGTTACCGACTGACACATTGACTAACATCGTGATAAAAGTTTCAAATTTTTTCGCTTTTTTGTTTCCGATGCGATGAACCGACAAGGCGGATTATATCCGTTGTTGCCAAACACGAGCACATAATATTATTGTTGAGGCAGGGCGGTACTCAAACTTCTAAAGGGCTATAACTTTGTTACTTTAATTTTATCAGAAAAATGTTAAAGGAAAAAACATTTCTTTTGATCAGATCTACTCACTGTTAAAATAAATGACTCAACTTCGAAGTCACCCTGTATATACAAATGTTCGTCTAGCTGAGTAGACGTGTCTGATGCTGCTGTTCCTTATTATCTACTAGAATGTATTTTTTGAGATCGAATAAACCTGATATTAGAGATGATGGTGCATGTGAAGTCGACATGAGTGAAATATTAAACAGTGACGTGATTAAAAGTGCATTCAGCGAAGCTATACGTACTGCGATGAGTGAGGTGGTCGCAAAAATGAAGGATTTGCATGATGAGGTGGTGATGCTGCGCGAGTCAAATGTGGAGTTAATCAACCTACTGACAAATAAAGGTGCTATGCATAATATCGCACATCCGAACAATCCAATAGGTCACAGCAAAACATCTGTTAATTGTAACGCTGAAGAAACTAAACATCCAGCAGTAGGGAACAAAAACAAAAACGAATCATCACAAAAAACTAGCAACTATAAAAAAGAAAAACCAGAACAAAAGTAACTAGAAATAAACAGCAAAAACGTTCCTGACTCTAGAACACAATATAAAACGAAAAATTTCATTGACACTCGAACCAAAAAGATTGTGAATAAACAAATAGCTGATAAAAGTAATATTATTTTTGGGACAGGATCATCTGATGCATTTACCATATCAGCAATCAAACGAAAATCTTGGATATACATTGGAAGAATCTCGCAGGGGACTGGCGTTGCTGGCATAAAGCAACATATGCAAATGTTTTTTGCCAACACTAACTTTGAAATTGAAATGCTTCCTAAATGGAAGAATAGTCGAACTGAATCGTTTAAGATAAAAGTCGACTCTGTGGTTAGAGAAATTGTTTCTGACAGTGGCAAATGGCCGGAGGGTACGCTAATAAAACCATACAAGTTCTTTCGTACAGATGACAAGTGAAGAGCATGAAACTGCTGACAACTGCAAGAGCTAGGAATGCAACGATGGTGCGGACAAGTTGAGAATCTTCAACATAAACATTCAAAGTTTATTTAATAAAATGGACCGTTTAGAATATTTTTTGGATTACAATAGTATTGATGTGTTACTTCTATCCGAGCATTGGCTTGATAATAATCTTATTCAAAACCTTGGTCTTGGAAGCTTCAGTCTTGTAAGTTGTTTTGCACGCACTAATCGTATACATGGAGGCACGGCAATATTTTCCAGAGGAAATGTCTTACATCTGTGTGCTCCAATCCAGTACCTAAACAGCCTTTCTCTAGAAATGGTTATTGAAGTCAGTGCAGTATCTTTTATGAAAACAAATTGCATAATCTGTATCTACAGGCCCCCACAACCCAATAAGGGTTCTATTGACATATTCTTAGAAAGACTATTGTCTATTGTCTCGTTTGCGACAAGTAACTTCAAATAAGTAATTTTAGCAGGCGACTTGAACATGGATTATTCTGGAAATGATATTTCAAAAAGATTACTAGGCGATCTGCTTGGATCATTTGAGCTTGAGTCTCATATAACTGAGTTCACTCGAATTGCCTCTACCAGATATGGAATCAGCAAATCGTCAATCGACTGCATAATTAGTAACTGCCCAGAAATAGTAAATGTAAAAAACGTTGACCCTGGTTTGTCAGACCATACCGGACAATCTATTTTTTGTAGCATATATCATACCATGAATACCACTGAACACCCAACTACACGGGTAATTAGAAATTTGAACTACAATTCATTGAGGGAATGTCGCTATTTATTACTGAAGCATGGGTTTGGTGACATTCAGAAGTGTAACATAAATGACCGTTTCGATGACTTTCTAGAAACGTGCTTGTGGTCTTTCGACATAGCCTTTAAACGTAAAATTGTTCATAATGAGCGATACAGCTCTCCTCATAAGAAAATTAAATTCTCTAAGTCACTTCAAGAAAAAATAGATCAATTGAATAGCCTAGCATGGCTGCGTAAAGAGATTCAAGATACTAATTTGGAAACAAGATTTAAATCTTTAAGAAAAGAGGTTGATAAGACTATTCGTGATGAAAGGACTAGTTACTATCACTCTATAATCAGCAAATCTTCAAACAAACAGAAAACTACTTGGAATATTGTCAATTCAATAAAAGGTAAACAAAAGAATGCAGTTATTACAGTCTGCGATAACGTAACTATAACCAACCCTACTGATATCGCCAACTTTTTTGGAAAATATGTATCCACTGTAATTGGCAAGAAAATGGCCAAAAATTCTACCGTTTTGTCGGATTCCTGCACTACTGGTGAAACAGCCAAACAATCAATGTTATTCACCCATGTCACTACTGATGATGTTATATTTGTGATAAGTAATATACCAGACAAGAAATCTACAGGGCCTGATGAAATTCCAATTTAGTAAAACAGAACATGGATATCTTTGCCCCAGTATTAGCAGACATCATTAATGAATCGGTTGCTGCTGGTAAATTTCTAACATCTCTTAAACTGGCATCGTTAATTATGATATTTAAAAAAGGTGAAAATTGTTGAAAACTATAGGCCAATCGCGCTATTAAGTATTTTCTCGAAAGTCATTGAAAAAGTGGTTGCAATGAAAATTGAAAATTACTTTCTTAAATTTGCTATTATCACATATGCTCAACATGGTTTCAGGGCAGGCTACTTAACTGAAACAAGCATTATCGAGAATGTTCAGTATGTTTGTGATAAACTTGGTTTAGGTAATTACGTAGTGAGTATCCAATTTGACTTGTCTCAGGCCTTTGATTGTGTAAGTTCGTCATTTGTGGCCGATAAACTTCATCATGTTGGCATTCGCGAATGTTTGAATTAATGGATAGTTAGCTCTTTAGAGAATAGAAAATTTTATGTTACTGTCGCTGATAAAAAATCTGATGAATTCAATTTAGATTGGGGCACACCTCAAGGCAGCGTCCTTAGACCACTTATTTTCTCGATTTTCATAAATGATTTGCCTGCACACTTGTCCTACGGAAAATTACTTTTGTATGCAGACGACACAAATATCATTTTAGCTGACTCATCGCAAGATCGTCTTCAAGAAAAAATTAATGATTCGGTTAATGAGTTCAGTCAATGGTGCTTCAAAAACAGACTAATAATAAATACAAAAAAGACCGTTTCAGCTGAATATTTTATGAAACCAAAAATTCCGTCAAATTTTAATTTCAGTCTTCAATGCAAGACAGTTGTAACTTCCAAAAAAACTGTTTTTTTGGGTGTAAGCTTTGATTGCAATTTAAGATGGACAGAGCAAATTGATTCCGTATGTAAGAAACTTGGAAAAAGTCTGTATTTAATACTTACGCTAGGGAGCATGTTAAACACCTCAGCATTAATGGATGTCTACTATGCATGTGTACACTCTGTCATTTCATATGGCATTACTGCGTGGGGCCAGGGTAGTGAAATCTCTAGAGTGTTTGTCTTAAAAAGAATCATTCGCATTATATTTAAAATACGGTCCAGATCCTCCTGTCGTGAGATATTTTTTAAACACAAAATACAGTAGCATGTATATATCTTTATAATCTTTTAACATATATTTTTCAGCACAGAAATGATTATCTTAAGCATACTGACATCCATGACTACAGCACTCGTAATAAAAATAATATAGTTAGGCATGTGTCATATCATACGTTTCATTCAAAATCTCCCATAACAGCAGGAATATACTTTTTTAATTTATTACCTCCGGAGATCAAAAACGTAAACTCCGTAGGGCTTTTCAAAAGACGTTTGCGGAACAAGCTATCGGACTGCGGTTTTTATGACCTAGGTGAATTTGTCACATTCCACATTGCTTCTGATAGATCTTAACAAATAAGTTATTGCCATGTGTGTATCATATGCTTTTTTTATGTTCTTATTTATTATATTGTTATTTGTATTTTACTTCCTTTTATCTATATTTTAATCTGTATACACCGAATTATCCAATGTCTACAATGTAGATCTAACTGGATCAATAAATGAATCTGAATCTGAATCTGAATCATTGTTAATATTTTAAACCTATAACACCCTGCTACATTTTTATTATTTGTGTTTGATAAGAAAAAAACTAAGATTTCAATAGTTGGGCCAACTGAAGTGGGAAGGGGCACGTATTCCTCCCTGATCTCGATGTGCTCAGAATTTATTTTTATTTTGAATTCATTCACTGAAAAATGCTATATTCAGAGCGAGAACATCTACCTGTACCTCAAGCAACGTGATGACTTATGGACGAAAAATCGCCTAGCTTACAGCATGATAAATTCACAGTGATCCAAAGAAACCTTAAACAACTCTCTTCGAAGCGAAATAAACAATTATTTATGATTTACTTCAAAAATTGCTTAAACCAAGTACCGGGTTACCACGCGGCAACTTCTTGGATCACGTGATAAATAGCGTATGCTACCTGTATTTTGGCACTCACAAAGGGATAAGACAGTCGCAGAACACAAAAATTAACTTATAAATCCATTTTGGAAAGGTGTTCTTGCGGAACCTTAGGCTATGTACGAGCCCCTTCCCACTTGAGTCGGCCCAACTATTGAAATCTTAGTTTTTTCCTTATCAAACACAAATAATAAAAATGTAGCAGGGTGTTATAGGTTTAAAATATTTACAATGAATATTTTGATAATATATAGTAGAAAAGACCAACTTTATCACTCCCTAATCAAATTTGCAGCATAAAAATAACACATGTTGCAATACCAGCATATCAACCTATTTTCATTTCAATACAAAATAAGTCTATAACGCATAGGTGGCTGTGAAAAACAAAAGCTATGACAATTGTTTTTATTAATCAAAGCTGTCAGAATACGTTTAAAATAGTTTTTGGTAGTTAAGCAGGTTTTCAAAATGGGTAGAGGAAAGGTTATTAGTGAGAAAATTCGGTTACTGATAATTAAATTTTTTAATTCTGGGAAATCAAACTCAGAAATTGCAACTTTGTTAGACTTATCGCGGTACAGAGTGAGAAAAATTGTTAGAAGATATAACGTAACTGGTTCAGTTAATATTAAGCCACGATATGTGAAAAAAAGTAATATCACAAATGCCGACCGAAGAGCATTAAGAAGAATAATCGTGAAAAACAGGCGTGCCAATTATTTACAATTTAGTGCTCTATAGAGTGACGCTGTTGGAAGGAGAATTTCGAGGTACACAACTCATAGAGAGGCCCACAAACCGGGATTTAGCACTTGCAAGGTAAGTTTTCTTATAAAAAAGGTGAAGTAAAAACCCTAAAGTTGCACAACTTGTTTATAGGCCAAAGAAAAACCACTATTAACTCCACTGCAAAAGAAACATCGGTTTAGATGGGCTAAAGAACATTGATAATGGACACCTCAACAATGGTGTGCAATACAATGGAGTGATGAGGCCTGATTCGAAGTTTGTGTTGGTGACAGTCGCAGTAGAGTTATTCGCAAAAAAAATGAAGCATTCCATGTTGACTGTCTGAAGAGAAAAGTGAAATTTGCAGCATCCATTATGGT